AATTCTTATCGCGACGTAGTATTGATATCGAACGAAGTAATTTAGTTGTGTTTGTAACGCTGAACCGTGTGACTTACCAAGAAATCGCGTAAGTTCACTATTCGTCATTTGGTGAAATAGGCGAGTTTAAGTTAGTTAAATGTACAATGAAGTTAATAGACTAAAATAGTGCCATGAAGAAAGAAATGGTCCAGCGGGGAAGCCTACTGGAGTGATGCAGCATTGTGAGGCAGCCTGGAAATCGGCCGCTGCAGGTCACCTCAGCTGGCCCATGTCTCAGAGACATACACATCACTAAACACTACTTTCCATGCACCTTACACCCACCTACGGCCTGACCAAGCCTTGGGGCGATCTTAGCTTCGGATACAGGTACGTACTATATTTTTCTAGCCTTCTCCCTTCAGTTTAGTATTATAGGACATTCTTCCATATGGCCATTTGGACCCGACCCGCGTCTGCCCGTCGAGCAGGCTGCTATGGGCCCCAGCCAAGGCGATCTTTGTAGGGGCAGCTGCGGGCCGTAACACATACCCTTCGGCAAATTGTACAGAAGTCCAAAGAGTACAATTTGCCACTATGTCTGGCGTATGTGGACTATGAGAAAGCCTTTGATTCCGTCGAGATTTGGGCGGTACTGCAGTCCCTTCAGTGGTGCCAAGTTGACTGTCGGTATATCGAAGTGCTGAAGTGTTGTACAGTAGAGCTACGATGGCTATCCGAATACAGAACCAGAGTACGAAACCTATCCAATTGCAGAGAAGTGTAAGACAGGGTGACGTTATATCCCCGAAACTCTTCACCGCTGCATTGTAAGACGTTTTCAAGCTTCTGGACTGGAAAGGATACGGTATTAACATCAATGGCGAGTACATCACTTTCCTTCGATTTGCCGACGATATATACATTACTTATGGCAGAATCGCTGGAAGACCGAAGCACCATGCTCAATGACCTCAATAGTGTCTCCCAACGAATAGGTCTTGGGATGAACGTGGACAAAAGAAAGATCATGTTTAATGTCCATGTCACACCTATGCCGTTAGTTGTTGGGAGCACTAAGCTCGAAGTTGTTGACGAGTATGTTTACCTGGGACAAATAGTCTGACTAGGTAAGTCCAACTTCGACCGAGAGGTCAATCGACGGATTCAACTCGGCTGGGCAGCGTTCGGGAAACTACGACACATCTTCTCGTCAGACAAACCTTAAAACCTTAAAATGAAATTGTACAACCAGTGCGTGTTGCTAGTGATGATTTACGGATCTGAGACGTGGTCCTTCACTGCTGGCCGTATGAGGAAGCTCAAGGTCGCTCAGCGAGCTATGGAGAGGGCTATGCTCGGGGTTTCTCTGCGTGATAAACTTAGAAATGAGTATATTCGCAGTAGAACCAGATTAACCGACATAGCCCAACGGATTAGTAAGCTGAAGTGGCAGTGGGCCGGCCATATAGCTCGAACAACCGACAACCGATGGGGAAAAAAGGTTCTTGAGTGGCAGCCTCGTACCGGTAGGCGAAGTGTAGGGCGACCCCCCACGAGATGGAGTGACGACCTGGTAAGACATGCAGGAAGTCGATGGATGCAGGTGGCTCAGGACCGTGCTTTGTGGCATTCCTTGGGGGAGGCCTATGTTCAGCAGTGGACTTATGAAAGGCTGTAATGATGATGATGATGATCGTCTACGTTGGCAGCTTTGTAAAGAGCTACCAACGTAGGCGATTTTTCGCCAATTAGACTACTCGGGATGGAAATCGGCTACGAAAAATTCTGCAAGGCGACTGGTCGCCAAATAGGCTACTAGAGAGACGAGCGACCGACCGTCAATTAGACTGAATCGCAACAGAAGTTAATGTTAGCGTAAAATGATACCTGCTACGCAAAACTTACAAATCAAAATAAAAAAACTTGCAACACTGTTAATTTCGGTGAATACTCAAAAACTAAGGCTCACTGTCACTCTCACTCATCTGCAGAAGTGCGCGAGAGAGACGGGTAGAACCAAATACACGGACAATGCGTTAGTGAGTAGGGCTTCGAACTTATTGCACGTATACCTGTTGCACGTATTAAGTAACCAAATTTAGAATGCAATAAGATTGTAAGTATTCGCTCCGCTGTTAATAAGATTTGTCATTAAACGTATTAATTCCGGCTATGTATTTCATTTGTCTGTTATTTGCGAAATTTCTCCAAGAGTCCTGCATGTTCTCGTGCGCTTAGAGGAGGAATTAGTTGACAGGATACCACTTAATGTGTCAGTGGTGGAAAATATTAAACGTTTATCACCAAGCCATGTGTGCTTCTCAACCAGCAGACCCAAAGTTGATGATTTTTCCTGGCAATTAGGGAAACCTAATATTGATCGGGAAACTATAATGAACTAATGACGTTCTTTAAGTACGTTGCACATTGAAGTAATCGATACAACTTATTCCAATGATATTGTTACGGCCTACAGCTGCTCCAGCAAGAGTCGAATCTTCCGGGGCCCATTAGAAGAAGATTCCACGAGCAGCCGCAGGTCGGGCCCAAAATGGCCACATGGAAAAATTTCCTATGACACTAAGCTATATGGGAGAATGATAGAAACACATATTACGTACCAGTATCAGAAGCTAACTTCGCACCAAGGCTCGGTCAGGCCGTGAGTGGGTGTAAGGTGAATGGCAAGTAGTGTTCAGTGATGTGTAAATGTGTGAGACCTTGACCACCTTAGGCGATCAGCAGCGGCTGAGTTCCAGGCTACCCCAAAATGCTGCATCGCTCCAGCAGGCTCCACCGCTGGACCATTTCTTTCTTCCTTGTCACTATTTCAGTCTATTAGCTTCATTGTACATTTAACTAACTTAAACTCGCCTAATTCCACATTCGTCGTAGAATCGAACACGTGATACCTGACACAGTAAGGACAGTAGTTCTAATTCGACTTACAATGTCCCGGATTCACTTATCACAAAATTATATAGAGGGAATTAAAGCGATCTCTTAATGAGTCATACTATTCAGCGTTAAACACAACTAAGTTCCTTCATTCGACACCAAAACACCACGTCGCGAAAAGATTCAAAATACGCCTCGTTGACACGTAAACTAATAAGCCAACAACACACAAAAAGGGCATTCAACGTGACGCACGATTATAATGATTTCCTGATGGTCAACCGGTAGAAGCTCTCGAACAAGGAATGCGCGGTTCGAACCTTAGACCGTATATCTACTCGATGCGCACGTGCACAATTCTGCATCCCCGAACAAGTTAAATATTGTAAAATTCACATATCCACGTAAGGAAGTAACAGGCACTTAATCTAACCATCTGGACCCGACAACGGTCACGTGAACTTCGACCGCGATAACGAGCTACGCGGGTTCCCCTCATCGCGGCCAGTGGGCAACTGCCTCATCATCGCCCACGCGTCGAGCCACCGCAAGCCGCACACGGCCGCCCCACCTCGCCGCTTATCTCACCTACATACTATCGGTTGACGCGCCAGCTCGAACGCAATTGGGTGGCGTTCAAACATAACCAAATTTGGGCATAAACAGATATCGTAAATTTTTGGGTACAGGTATTGAAAATACAGAATGCTGGAGGGAATCCCATGTTTAAAGAGTTTGCCGAGTTTTCATTGCGATGTCTCTCACTACCTTTAAGTAATACTATCGTAGAATAGTATATTTCATTACGAGTGCGGATAGCCTGTCATTGTAAAGAGTTCCGACAAATGTCTACCCGAGCCGAGGCGCAACCGAAGGTGAGGGTTGACAGTCGCAACACGTTGCAATGACGGTTCCGCACGTGTACTGAACAAACTATTTTTAATACAGTTGCGAAAAAATTAAGCAATTTAATATAGAACATTTTTGGAAAATGGCGCCAACCGTAAAAGAATATAAGAAGAGATTTTTTTGTTTTCTTCTACCGTTCTAGATAGGCAAAGGGAACTAAGCCCATACAGCCAAGTCTTCAGTAGAATTTTTTTATTGATACGAAATGAAAATTAAATTCAATGAGATAAAATTAAATGAAACCTAACCTAACTCATTGATTCAAATCATTAAATTTGATATTGAAACAAATTAGTAGCTTCTTTTTAGAAATATTTGCATGAATCATAAAAACTTCTATGAATTTTTTTTTAGTAATAACTTCGTGGTTATTTTTTTCTTTTTAATAGACATTATTTGACAGTTGGGAAAGAGAACGCACGAGTTCGGAAAAGGTAAAGAAAAAGCACAAGTATGCACGAGTATGTAATATCCCACATCCCGAACGCTATACGTCCCTGCAATGTGCCACTTTTTAAGCAACTGTATTAAAAATAATTTTTAGCGTGATGGGCACGTTAAAGACAAAATTAAGAAACAGAATGTAACATGCTGATTGCAATTCTAATTCTTAGAATCCGTACACATATGAATGTCCGAAATATTTTTTCAACAATTTTCAACCGAGCAATCATATCATCAGTTTTTATGCTGGGAGAAAAATGTATGTTTCCAGTTCCAGCGAAGTTTACGCCAGCACCAGCACAGCAGAGGCTACAGAAATTTTTGACGGTGAATGTCTTGATGATGCTTTGTTGCTGCTGGCAGCAAATGATGATTGCTGATATTTTTAAATTTAATACTCTATGTATATCTTATGAATAAACAAATTGTTAAAAATTACGTTTTTATTGATTCATAGCGAAGTTTTGATGTTTGGGCTCAGCTCAAATTAGGCTATATTAGGCTACTAAATCTGTGAAAAATGGCGATATCAGGTTCCAAGTTGTTGACAACACTGGCTCTTTACCTTGGCAGCCATATTGTTTTTGTAGAGTGGTGTATTCAACGGATTGTAAACAATTTTCTTCTTCATTTGTTTATTTTGCCCTGCGATTTTTGTTAATTAAATAAAATGTTTTAGAGTTTCTGTCATTAGCTATGACTGATAGTCATTTACACCAGCCCCTACGCTTACACCTCCGCGGTTATTTTTAATTTCTTCAGCGATGTCGAGATATCTATTTTATTTTATTTTTTTGTATTATTTGATACAAAATGTTGTTGGATACAGTCAGTTATGTGATAATAAAACGCGGAGTTGCACAACTCAGGTAAGATTTATTTAGCTTATAAATAGATATATAACAGTATTGATTTATTGACATAATGTTTAACCTTGACGACGCAAAAGAGCAGCTAGGTACTAATCAAAATCCAAATTTGTTATGTCTAGTATGGAACCTCTGTAAAGAAACCTATTTCAATAGCATACATTGATTATTTTTAGGTAACACGTTTATAACTCACGTATTAAAAATGAAAGTAACAACCTTTCTAAGACATGCTGCTGCAGGGTATAGACCCTGTGTCCATAGACCTCGTCTTATTTTGAGAGGCATGCTTTAGCGTAGGAGAGCTTGACGCGCTTCTTTTATGTAAATCAACAGATTTTGCTTTTATCAACTTAATGGGGGTTGTACAGGAAAGAAAGGTTTGAAGTGTTCTTATTTTTGGTGTAGACCTTTGTTCCACTCACCAAAGTGTCTGTTTTATTTTACAAGATATAATGAAGTTGTTTTGTATGAAATATAAAAAACTATGTTAGTAAGTTTTACATCTATATAGGTATTTAAACATTACAAGAAACAACCTTTTTTTCAAAAATTGCCTATATTTCCTACACTTCCTTAAAATATTGAACCCACATCTACTATTTTACCATGTACATAGGTATCTATTCCTACGGTGTCACGATTTGACAGATCTCCATAAGATATGTCTTACTTTCCGAGGTACATTGAATATTAAAACTAAAACAGCACACCCCGACTCCTTTACGACATAGTCTTGTCTGCCCCACCTTTAGAGTCACCTGTGTGAGCTGTAGCGGCTGAGGCTGGTCACCAATAAGCCAAAACTGTGGAGGTGAGCTATGCCAGGCCGAAGGAGCGCTAAACTACTCAAAGCGCCGAAACCGTTGCAGAAGTAACTGAGTCAATATTAATGTGTAAAAAGTGTAATTTTTGTGTATAGATATATCGGAAAATAAGTGAGATATTAAAAAATTTATTCTTACTTTTTGGCGTATCTCATCAAGATCTATGCAAATCCACGTTCAAATCATGGCACCGTAAGAACTGTAGTCATACCCTTGTATGAATGTCTAATTGGAAATTATAGTGTGGGGAGGTAATAAATCACATTGAATTTGTCATAAAATATAACACAGCATTACAATACCTGTCTTTTATCCACTGAAACGTTCGGACGGCGCGGCGCGGCGACAATAGCCTTGAACGTCCCGGCGCCGCTCGGCGCGATTTTTATACGGTCCGATCGTAACCAGTTCAACTAAAACTGTTACCATGGAGAACGTTCTTTACCTATATCAGAATAAAAATCACTCAGAAAGCTAAAAAAATGTAGAATTTAATTATGTTAGTTAATTATATTTTATTAAAATAAATAATATATAATACAAAAATTTAAGGAAAAACCGACACACAAAGGCGAAATTTTCGCATGTCGACTTCATCACATATAAAAACATTGTTACAGACTTTAGATTCATAAAACTTGTAGATATACGAATAGAAAGCATCTTGAGGATTATTTTCATATATAATACTAGTACAAAACTATAATAAACACATTATTACTTACATTTTAAATGCAGAACTCACAGTAATACCCAGAAAACTTGACAAAACACTTATTTTTTTTTGTTTTTTTTTTCAATGGTATCTGTTACTTGGCATAGACTTTTTACTAACCCATAGATGCGTTTTTTAATATAGAGCCGTCTAGTGCAGTGGTGAACCTAGGGTTCCAAACTAGGGCAAACCCAAGATATGGTTTTTTGTTGTTTTTAGCAATTTTATAAAAGTCCACCAATCTTGATCTGTCCCCAGTCTTCAGTTTCATATTCAGTGCTGCATAAAGCATAAATTCTCAACTTGCAATATTCATTCGCACAAGTAAACACACAGAGAAAACATTGAAATGTGAAGTGAACTTGCAAACGAATCGCCCGCGCGCCCGTACATTTCGTAATTATATTTCATTAAAGAACATTTTGCCACAGGTTAGAAAGGGAGCGATCGTCTTGTCGAAAGCTTGGTAAAAAGACCATGCGTGCCAGAAAAACGACTAATCACTCAACTCAACTCCTTTTTTATGACAGCAGTATCGTGCAGTTTGCAAACCAATCTGCCAAGTGTTGATGTTATATAATAAGGCTGTGAAGTCATGGTCTGTGTAGAACAGAGGAGCGCGGGGGAAATTTGAAATTGTTTGAAACAGATTACGAGTTATTTTATTAGTTGATATTATTGATTGAGCAGTTTGATAGGGCAAGCTCAGCTTTTTGGCTTCTATGGAGGCTTCGCTATCAGTCTAGTGTAACATTCATAAAGATTTTTGTAACTTTCCATAGATAAAAAGTTGTTTAAAGTGTAGAAGTCAGCAAGGCCGCTCTAGTCGCCCTAACGTTCAACCAGAAAAATTTTAAACGACTATGGTCGCCCGGACGTTTGAGTGGTTATCAAGTTAAGACTTTCAAGTCTTAACTTGATAACCACTTCTTTTTTATAATAATGGTAAAAGTTTGATAGCGCAGTTTAATAAATATTAAGAAATATACATCACTAGGTTTTTGTTTTTAGGCTAAAATAATGTCTTTTGTGTTCGTCCTTTTTAACCCCCGATGAAAACAGAGGAGTGTTATATGTTTGTAGTGTGTATCTGTGTGTCTCTCTGTGGCATCATAGCTCCTGAACGGATAAATTGATTTTAATTAAGTTTTTTTTTAGTTTGAAATGTGTCTTAATTGAGTGTTCTTAGCTATGTTTCAAGGAAATCTGTTCAGCCATTTAAACATCATCAGCTCTTTTTGTTTCGGGAGTTTGTTAAAATTTTAATTTAAGTTATTGACTCTATCGAGTTACAACCTAGTAAGAGATGCAGGAAGTTGATGGATGCAGGTGGCTCAGGACTGTGCTTTGTGGCATTACTTGGGGGAGGCCTATGTACGGCAGTGGACTTATGAAGGGCTGTAATGATGACGGAACACAAATCACTAATCATCTTTTTTTAATCTGCATTAGCAGGTGGATATTTTGGGATTTAGATATACAGTTGTATTGATTTCACAATATTTAACTATAAGTATATTTACCTGTTTACCTAAGCAATATCATCACATGGGCATTTTACTTGGCAAGATTTGTTACATGCAAAATGCAAGTTCATATTTTTGATTAATATTTGAAACCAAATATATCAACAATACTAAATAGATCAAGATACTATAAATGAATACAATACAATACTTGAAATGGCATGCTAATCTAATGAGTATTTAATTGCTCCCATGAGAGAAGGCAAGACCTATTGGAATGTTATCAATGTTGATAGGCTGTTACTCTATCTTACAACTTCTTAGAGCAGCGTTTCGTAACTTTTTTCCGCCACGGACCTCTAAAAAAAAGCAATAAAGTTGGGTTAGTTAGCATAGAATTTTTAATGTAAAGGTTATTGTTTTTTTGCAACTAAATTAGTGATATTCAGGGTTTTGAATTTGGATGTTACTTCAAAGTTGTATTCTCAAATAGGAATCCACTTGTAATTTGTTTCTTTATTTTTAATTTTGGTGGCATTTATTTATTATAATTAAATATTCTAGAACAGTCCGCAGACCACAGTTTAGGGAACACTGTCTTAGAGAAGTGTTTAGTTTGCAGTAAGTTTGTAAGCAGTAGTTTGCTAAGCAACAATGCTATATTATGTCAAAAAGTTGAAAGTAACAAATAATTAACAACATTGTTTCTAGATTTTGGGCCATGACTACACAGAAGACACATGCCAAATGGAATACTTCCCATCTAACAGTGCAGCTTGCAAGGGAATGAGCTTTGCACCAATAGCTCCAAATGCTCACATTGGTGGTGTAAGCTTGAGGCCATATGTATTACCATTTGAGCATGTTTCATATGGAACAGTCTACACAGTGAACCATACCGTGCTCAACATTACTTTCAGCAACATTAAATGGAAAAGCAAGTATTATATTATTTATTGTAATAGTATACAATTATGAAGAGAATTATATCAGATCATAAATCTATATTATTGATAAGATAATACACATGTTTTCTCAGTTTTGCCAAAATTGATGGGAGGGCTAGAATGCACTTCTTACTTTGAGCATTATCAACTAGCTATTGATAATTACATTACAATTTCATTTCAACTATTCTCTTTACACAACATAAACTGCCATGCTTGTCACCCATAGGGATTGACAGTGGGCTACCATTTGACAATATCTTGACACACCTAACTTGATTCTTTCATATCTATATATCTAATATCTATATTTTTTCACACCTAGATATTCTTAATCTTCCATATATCACAAATTTGCAGTACAATATTCCTTTGTCACTTTTTCCTCGTTCATTCCTTCTACATATCGAATTAACCGAAGCATTCTAAATGTAGTGTCACAGCACCGTCATGAAACCTACACATTTCTTTTGTCATGCAATACTCGCTTTCATGTTGTAATGTTAAAATCGCGCAGTGTTATAGAGTATACTTCAGTCTTTAAGTGAACTCCAGAAAATTGTGTTGACTATGGCATGCAAAATATGTTACTTTTTAGTCATGTGCAATAAGTTTATTGTTTTGGTGATATGATTTTTTTCTTACTGTCATGATACAATTTCAAACTTATTTCTTTCAGCTATGAAATTTCGCTTCCAATTCTCAAAGCACAAAAGTGTGGAAAACCATTGCAGGAACATTGTAATATCAAACAATGTCACTATAAACGATCAGTCCATGTTCTACTATGACTGTTACTGGCCTGTTGCCGACGGGAATCCCAATGGCCAAAGCCACATCCTGGACTTTGAAGCAACAGATGATACTGTAGTTAATCGTGGACAATATTATTTCAATATTCCTACTGCCCAGATGCTAAGTGAGTAATTGTCAGTAAGTTAAAAAAAGAATTTATACAGATTCAAAACTATGATGATCAGACACCCAGTGACAATGGGTTTTACACAGTCACTGCTGTAAACAGGTCTCTCATTTTTGAGATGGTAATGGAGCCAACAGTCCTCTGCACTGCTTCAGTGCAGGTTGTAGCACTTTACGTCTTTATATTTTCAATCATGAAGGTTTCCTCACAATAAAAAATTTGTGGCGAACCCTTAGTCGTTGAGCTGCCAATGCCCAAATTTTGAGTGCAATTTTAAATTGGTTCCTTTTGGTTTACGTAGAAAATTGTGCTTCTCTTTTCTGCTCTATAACACTTTCTGATAAGAGGAGACCTGAGCCTGAAAGTAGTGTATGTCTTCAAATAAAAATTATTAATTAAAATAAATACAATTGACCGCAATAATCTGACAAACGTTTTGCAAGGCTGTGTTGGACTACCAAATTTGTCGGACTATAGAGTACTGCCACAGCCCTCTAGTCCAGAATTTAAAAAAAAGTACCTTGTAATTTGACAAATCACATAAATATTAAATAATAACTAGGGATCCACTGTATATGTACAAATCATCTGTAGAAGTACATGATGAGATTTAAGATAAACTGGCCTAATTGCTTTCAGATTCCTCTATTACATAACTTATTTTAATTTAGGAAAAGTATTAGTTGATCTTACCAGGTAGTGGCAATTAAAGAATATACACTATCCCATATCATCCCGTAGGTGTTCTAAGAGACAAGAGAGGGAAACAAAACCAGGAGATGGGCAGCAGCATTTTCCTAATAACAACTGAAAAATAAACTGTAGTTGCCAACCCGAACGCAAAACACGGCAACTATGGCAAATATTTCATGAGGTAATGTGGAGGAGGCCTATGTTCAGCAATGGACTTTTGATAGGCTGTGATGCAAATAACGGAGGCAATCTACAAGGGAGATCTATGTGCAGCAGTGGAATATTAAGTCTGTAATTATGATAAGAAAATAAAATTAACTAATTTTTCTCATCATACATCAAACATCAACAGTGTGGGTATTCTTCTGCATTTAGCATATGCAACACATCTAATTGTGCACTTGTTGGAAAATTACACATCAAACTTGAGATATGTACTGGTGGTGAATCATAATAATATATTAGTTTATAATATATGTTAATTTTTTTTCCAGGTCCGACTGCAACAGTATATGAGTGGAAGCCATTTGTATATATAGAAATTCTAACTGATAAAATGAAGCTCCACGTTGTACCACCTCCCCCTCATTTGAAAATTACTGCATATCAGATAGCAGTGCTAAGAGAATGCGATAAAGAAACACTCTGTATATTGGATGAAACTGTCGCCAATACCACTATACAACTGAAGAATAATACTCAAGAAGTGATGTACGAGACCAGCATGTTAAGGAAATCTGGGTCTTATTATTATGTAGTTACAGTCTTTCATAATGCATGTAACAGTGATGCTGGGAAGTGTCAGTATGTGGAGAGTCCAAGGATTAGGATCAGTAAGTACAATTTTTTTTTTCATAAGGTGTTTAAGCATGTAGGTTATTTTATTAAAATATAAATAGTTTTTCATATTGATTCGCTTATTGGACTTAGATTTAACATTTATTTTTAAAAATAAACAACTTTTTAACAATTGTAAGTGGTTTCAAAACGTCCACCTAAATTATGGGCACAAAGGTGAATGATGGGCTCATAGAGCGATATTTACCCGCGACCACAGATAATATACCGATATTACCTGTGGTCGTAAATAGTATTGAGCCCGGTCACATGTTCTGGGGATTATACTTGAAATCGATCCATCATAAATGCTTACTTATTTCTGCACTGCGATGTTTTGGTCTGAAAGTCTGATGTGTATAGACGGCCAGTGTAATTACAGGCAGTGAGGCATTATCATCAGGTGAACTGTAAATTCCTATGTAATTTTTGTTACAAAAATAAATTAATAACCCGGCTTGTGGCCACCTGACTTGTTTACATCTCCTGTCAAGTTTGCGGTCGTTAACGCCTCGGCCTACCTCTTGTGGGCGCACGAGACCACACAAAACTGCGGTCTCGTGAATTTAAAAATAAAATAATAGCAGATCCTCTTGCGTTCCGCCCTGGTAAAATATCCCTCTATGAATTCTTAGTCAAATAATCTGGCGGTCTGCCCCAATGCATTTGGCAGACTAGATATTCTCCAATTATTGCAAATGAAAGATTTTTCACATGTTATGTAAGAAAGAAACATGTCACCTAAAATTAGATTTCAAGACCGTAAATTATCTACTGGTAGAAGAAGACTTTCCACATTAGGGTAAACCTAAATAATCATCATGATTTGTCGAGAGGTTTTTTATATAATAAAATGCTAATGTGTTGCCACCCCTGAGGAAAGGGTCTACGGTTCTCTTTTTGTATAGGATAGGGTGGCAAAAAAGCACACAGTCTGCCTGATGGTAAGTGGTTGCTGTGAGCCATAGACATCTACATCTATCCTCAATAAAGAATCAAAATGCAGATGTGTGACCATGAGGACTAAGATGGAATCTCTGTCTCACCATATGAAACAGCAGAATTAAGCTGAAATTTTTTAGCTGGTAATCTGTGAAGGCGTGGTCCTTCTCCGTTCGAGCAGAGCTATTCATGTTACTACCATAATACTGCTGCAGCATGGCTCTACCGCATAAAAATTGCATCATCATAAAAAGGTGTTTCATTTGCCTCAATGTAATAAGGTGCTATTGACAAATAACTTTCTATAATGGCAGGCAATGAAGTCCAAACACTGAATATCTGCATAGCAAGCATTACAGCTTTGATTGTGGCAACCCTCTTCGCTTACTACATTGCTCTAAGAGTCATACGTCGATACTGTTGCAGGGACTACAGTCTTGCACCTGGTAAGAAAAAATATTTTTATATTATTTTTTCCATTCAAACATCTAGTACTTTTAACGCTGCTTTTCTTCGCCGATCTAGGTAAGTTCCATTGGTATATGCAAGATGGCTATACCGCCATCAGCTCAAAAACAGCTCGAGGGATCGACAAGGGGGCTCCAGCTGTTTTCATACGTTGTCGGTCCCTCGAGCGCCTCGGGACCGTGCGATCGTGCCGGAAATCAAACCTCAGACCATCCAAGACCGCCTCTTATGGAGTCCATGAGTAAAAGAAAACAAGCACTCTGGTATAATGATTTCTTATATTTACGGGAACACTACACATTGAATAAAACTATTTTTACGGATTTTATCGCGTTTAATTAACTTATTTTATATTCCCGACGTTTCGGTTGCTTTCCAGCAACCGTGGTCATGGGGGACTGAGGTGATTAACGTCCCGATGTCAGTGTTAAACCGGAGTACCTTCAGCTTTTTTAATTAATAACTTTGATCCGATCTACGCAGAATGAACTAACTGTGTCTTGAAGTCTTGCAGTGGTATGCTTGGGTTTAGTTTTAATTTTATAAATTACAGGATCCCAAGCAGGTGGTAGTACCCAGCCTCCCTGTCTTTTGAAATTAGGATGTTTTTTAATTTCAATAGCTTCACATATCATCCTTGGCAGGAATCGATGTTCTTTCGCGAGAATTTGTGGTTTATCAAATCTAATGTAATGGCGGGGGCCGTCTAGGATATGATCACAAACTGCAGACTTCCCGGTACGTTGTGATCATATCCTAGACGGCCCCTTTACAGCCTTTCATAAGTCCACTGCTGAACATAGGCCTTCCTCAAGGAATGCCACAAAGCACGGTCCTGAGCCACCTGCATCCATCGACTTCCTGCATGTCTTACCAGGTCGTCACTCCATCTCGTGGGGGGTCGCCCTACACTTCGCCTACCAGTACGAGGCTGCCACTCAAGAACCTTTTTTCCTCATCGGTTTTCGGTTCTTCGAGCTATATGGCCGGCCCACTGCCACTTCAGCTTACTAATCCGTTGGGCTATGTCGGTTACTCTGGTTCTACTGCGGATATCCTCATTCCTAAGTTTATCACGCAGAGAAACTCCGAGCATAGCCCTCTCCATAGCTCGCTGAGCGACCTTGAGCTTCCTCATACGGCCAGCTGTGAAGGACCACGTTCTCAGTTCCGTAAGTCATCACTGGCAACACGCACTGGTTGTACAATTTCGTTTTAAGGTTTTGAGGTATGTCTGACGAGAAGATGTGTCGTAGCTTCCCGAACGCTGCCCAGCCGAGTTGAATCCGTCGATTGACCTCTCGGTCGAAGTTGGACTTACCTAGTCGGACTATTTGTCCCAGGTAAATATACTCGTCAACAACTTCGAGCTTAGTGCTCCCAACAACTACCGGCATAGGTGTGACATGGACATTAAACATAATCTTTGTTTTGTCCATGTTCATCTTAAGACCTATCTGTTGGGAGACACTATTGAGGTGATTGAGCATAGTGCTTAGGTCCTCCAGCGATTCTGCCATAAGGACTATATCGTCAGCAAATCGAAGGTGAGTGATGTACCTCGCCATTGATGTTAATACCGTATCCTTTCCAGTTCAGAAGTTTGAAAACGTCTTCCAATGCAGCGGTGAAGAGTTTCGGGGATATAACATCACCCTGTCTTACACCTCTCTGCAATTGGATAGGTTTCGTACTCTGGTTCTGTACTCGGATAGCCATCGTTGCTCTACTGTACAAGCACTAGCACTTCGATATACCGATAGTCAACTTGGCACCGCTGAAGGGACTGCAGCACCGCCCAAATTTCGACGGAATCAGGCTTTCTCATAGTCCACATACGCCAGACATAGTGGCAAATTGTACTCTTCGGACTTCTGTACAATTTGCCGAAGGGTATGTATGTGGTCTATGGTGCTAAAGCCCTTTCGGAAACCGGCTTGTTCTGGAGGCTGGAAGTCGTCAAGTCTGCGCGCGAGACGATTCGTAATGACTCTCGAAAACAGCACGTAGACGCGGCTCAGAAGGGAAATTGGTCTGTAGTTCTTCAAGAGAGCGTTGTCACCTTTCTTGAAGAACAAGACCACCGCACTTCTGCTTCACGCCTCCGATGTAATGCCACCATGGAGGACGGAATTAAAGAGCTTCTGAAGGACTTCAAGTACCGGTCTTCCACCCGCTTTCAGAAGCTCCGCTGTAATTCCATCCTCGCCTGGGGCCTTGCCGTTTTTAAGGTGCTGGAGAGCCATTCTAATCTCGCTCAGACTGACGTCCGGGATATCTTCGGAATAGTGTCGGATCAGACTCGCTCTTGGATCGTTACTCTCACACTTGCGTGTGGCTCCAACGATGACGTGTACAGCTGCCCATAGAACCTCTCAATCTCACTCAAAATCTCAGGTGTCCCGGAAACAATGCTGCCACACTCGGTCTTCAGCTTTGACAGTTGGCTCTTTCTGGTACACAGATCTTTGGCAAAGACTTTGGAGCTTTGGTTCCGCTCGATCGCTTCTTCAATACAAGCTGTATTGAAGTTGCGTAAGTCCCGCCGCATGCATTTGGAGGTCTGTCTGTTCAGTTGCCTGTATGCTGTCAAATCTGTTGAAGAATGTAGCTGCATCTCCCGTCTAACAGCCATTAGATTAAGAGTGTGATCGGAGAGATTTTGTGTTCTTCTGCGGCGGGTCTTGTAGAACTTAGCTCCGACCGCATGGACAGTTTCCACGAGCTTGTCATTCATATCGTCCACTTCATTGCAGTCTTCTAGGCACTGAAAACGGTTTTGTAACTCGAGCTGAAAGGTTTCGGGACTTTGGAACAGAGCACGAGGGGGACGGAGCGTTGACTTCATTAGACGAGATCTCTCCAACAACGTTTAGGTTCAGTGTGCCTCTAACCATTCGGTGATTGCTACCAGTTTTCACCCTCGCGATCACGGAGACATCACTGAACAGTTGTCGTCTGGTCGTCATAATGAAGTCAATCTTATTTTTTGTCGAACCGTCGGGGCTCGACCAAGTCCACTTCCTGTGGGGCCGCTTCTGGAAGGAGTTCATCATAAAGAGTCCCTCTTTCTCCATGAAGTCGGCCAGCTGCTGACCCCTTGGGTTCCGTTGCCCTATTCCAAATTTCCCTACTTTCAGCTCACCGTTCTCTCTTGTGCCTAGTTTTGCATTGAAGTCTCCCTTTAACACCGTATATTGGGTTTTGGAGGAATGCATGGCTCTAGAGATATCCTCATACATTTCCTCCACCTCCTCATCGGGGTGTGCCGAGGTTGGTGCGTAAACCTGTATGACCTTCAGCGAATACCGTTTGGTGATACTGAGTATAATATACGCAACCCTCGTCGACACACTCCCGATCTTTACAACGTTGTTAACGAGAGACTTGTGGACGATAAATCCGACACCTCCTTGGGACAGATGGTCGCCCTCCCGGTGATAGAGCAAGTTGCCGGATTCGAGGATTACCGTGTCCTCCCCCTCTCTTCGGACTTCGGATAATCCTATAATATGCCAGCGCAACTTGTCTATCTCTTCTTCCAGCTCCACGATCTTCTCGTTGGTCCTCAGGGTGCGTGCGTTGTACATTGCCAGGTCGAGTCGTCTAAGGTGGCAACCGAACCTCCACCGGAGATTCTTAGCACCCCCTGCCCCGCCGTTACCATGGTCGCCACCGTAGCCAGGAATAGCGGGGCCGCCGGGGACTGGGGGCCGTTTGTTTTTTGCTTTAATCATTGGGGGTATTTGCCATAGTTGCCACGTTTGGCGAGCGGGTTGGCAACCGCAGTTTTTTTATTGTAATTTTGGCTATTATCAGGAAGATGCTGCTGCCCATCTCCTGCCTGTTTCCCATTGTCGCCTTTTACGACTCCCACGGGAGGATATGGGGTAGTGGATATTCTTGACCGCCACTACACGGCAAATAACTCGCACTATTCGGGTATATAAAATAAGTTAATTAAACGCGATAAAATCCGTAAAAATAGTTTTATTCAAAGCACTCTGGTATATGATTCTGCTGCTGACTACTTTTAAGACCATAGACAGACACAGAGGACTTTGGACTAGAAGTGGCCACATCAGCCAGCCATGTAGGTTTTTCTATCTACTTAGCCCACAAATATTAACCTAGTTACAACTACTAAGATCACCCGTGGCAAGGTGGAAACCGTTTAGAGGTGTTAGACATTTTATTATACCAGTATAATAAAATACATGGCTCTTAAATGTAAGTGACCAGTCACTTACATGTAAAAGCATTCAGTAAATATCCAATTTTATCCGCATATGCATAATTTGCAAACCCTTTCTTCTTTTTGCTTCTTCCCACACTTGTTCACGAATTTATGCCCATTGTATCCCATAACATGGTAGGTTCTATTAAAAAAAAGGTTCACTCTACAGGAGGTCAATGAACTCTAACAGGTGGTTCTTTTTTCAATCCATAATACAGTTGAGTTTATGTAAGTGCACAGATGGCTCGATTACCGGAACGTGCAAACGTCCGCAATCATGGCCCCAACTGACATACGAATGTGAGGGAAACTATACGAATCGCCAATGTTCGACATTCGCGCTCTTAGGTGTGCGTTAAAAAACCGATACAGCTCGGAATTATCACGAATGCTCTCAATACTTTGCAAATTAATTTGCGAACGCAGTCCTTATACTTCCTTACACTTATAGATTCGTATATCTTAAACTTCTTTGTTACAGGAAAAGAGATTCCAGCTCCACCGAAAGTATTAGTGATATATTCACCGGCGAATCGACTGCACGCAGAGTGCGTGGCCTCCTTCGTTACATATCTTCGCTCCGAATACGGCTTCGAAATCATGTACGACGGCGATATATCGAACACTTCTCATGCGGATCCATTCATATGGGCTGATGAAGCGTTCCGTCTAGCTTCGCACATTATATATATAGTCGGCCCCGCTGAAGAAACAAATTTGTACAACAGTATTTATGACAAACCTATCATATCAGCACACAGAAATGTTGACATCCTTTTACTCTCAATGATAAAGGCCCATCGCACCTCAAGATGCCATAAGGACATCATAAATGTTTTCTTTGAACACTCCGATGGACAGATACCACTTGAGACGAGGCACGACCGAGTATTTTTCTTGTTAAAGGACTGGCAGAAACTAATCTCATACTTATCAAGGAATTTGTTGCCAAAGAAACAGATAATGAGGACGGAAAAGGGAAAATGTTTTATTGATGACTTAACGAGGGCCAAGAAATTGTTGAGTACGAAAAGGGATGATGTGGTGATTAAATGTGAGAAGAATTGGAATGAGAAGAAAGTTTTGTTGTAATCTCTGATTTCGGTTTAGAAAAGTCGGGACATGCTGAGAACAAATGGTACTTGCACAATGTAAGTATCTTTTATATTACTAATATTATAATTGAAATTGAAGAGTCGTTATTTGAATTATTAGGAATTATAAAGAAATGAACAAAATAAAAAAGGTATCTTGACTTTATTATTTTATAAGCATTCATTGATTAAATTATTAAATGTGTAGTTAAAAATAACAGTCTCTGCAATCTTGACTTTTTTTTTTAAATTTGTGTGGTAAAATACAACTTTTAAGAAATTATGTCTAATTAAATGACATATCTTCGTCTACATTGGCGCTGGTTCTTGGAATATTATCAATATGGGGTTAAAGTTTAAGTGTTTTTACGTGAATGGCAGCACATTCCATAATTGAAACTGCATATAATTTTCAATTATGGCATGTTTTTTAAGGCATTGATTATAATCAAAAATATTTTTGTGGTTATTTATAAAATGTTATAATTGTAACGCATAATATCTATCTTGATAGTTATATGATTGCTTGTCAAAAAGTACACTTCAAGTTTCTCTATGCATCTTTTCAATTTTTTCGATGGCAACACCTTCAAGTCTAAAAAATTTTATTCTTAAAATATTTTTCCACTTCTTGTTATTCCCAAAATGTAATTAAAATTTAAAGTTTTGAATAGCACATGTAAACATTGATGTATTTAACCATAGATTATTTGTATAATTAGATTATTTTGATTGATCGAAAAAAATCTTGGTGCATAATAATTTTTATATTGACGTGAATAACACATATAAAATAAAATTAATTTTACGGGTTTCATCTTTTTGTATACAGAGTGAAATCGAAGTCATTTGCATCCATATGATATGCACAATGACGACAGGCTCATTATCATTCTACTCATATTGAGGAATATTTTAAAGAAAAGTTGGTACGTCTTTGTGTAAATTTTTCCCAATAAATTTTGCCTTTGCCCTACACCGATTAACTGTCTTTATAACATTTTTAGAGTTCATGATTTATTGCTGTTTTTTAATCATTTATGAAGTGAAAAAAAACATGATGCATTATGATCAGTAGATGGTAGATGCCAATGATATAAATTTTACTCTGTATAGTTCCGACGTTTTCCGTGATTTGTAGCACTCACGATCTGAGAGACTATGACGTTGCGCAAACGTGTACACTTTTTTGTTACCGACACGGCACACCATCACAGGAAACCGTAGTTGCTGTGTCTGGTAGCAGCAGTTGAACACAGTCGCTGGTTGCTACTTCTGAACACTGGTAACAATTCGTTGCTTGTTGTGTTGATTACACGCGTCGTCATATTTACAGGCAAATCAACCACGTCAATGTCAGCGCCGTACAATTGTAGGGAAATTTGTTTTGTGTTGCTTGTGTCTTCAACTGACGACTTAAAGTTTCTAGTTACCTACACCGAACACTTTCTGATCGGCAATCGGTATGTCAAGTAGAATTAACTGGACATAAAAAGCGTCTGTGCAAGGAATGGCTGATTTCATATTGATTACATGAAAATAAAATATTAATTGGTAGCTTGTATCCCACACAAGACACAAAAGTGTCTAGGTTTGCGCAGCGCCTAAGGTGTTTGATGTAACAGTTAACTTAAAACACTTTCTTCAGCTTTCCGATCTTAAATCGATAATCAATATCTAGTGATAATCGTTTATTAAAGTATTAATTATCTCTATATCTGTCTCTTTCCATTCAGAGTCCGGCCTCAAATTTATCAATCAATATCGAACAATAATGGCTTACTAAAGTATTAATTATCTCAATATCTGTCTCTTTCTATTGTCATTTAGTAAGAGAACAACTTTAAACATTTTTACATTTCAGTCGATTTTTATGAGTAAGGTCTAATAATTATTAAATTTTGGTTTGATCTCATGGGCTTGTGATTAATTGAATTGAACAAACATGCAACAACAGGTACTATGCCAAAAAATAATAATTGAAAGTTAATTCTCTCGTAATCGTGAGTACTGCAAAGCACTCGATATATCGCAAATATAAAATAAACCAATATTATTTATTGTATATGACAAATTCGTAAAATTAGTTTAATTTTTTATTATAGGTAGGCCATACTCAATAGCTACCTCTTCACATTTATCTAAGCGGTATATATTATATCCAGTAATGGATTCAAGAGTGTAATGATTTTTATCGTAATCTAACTGACGTGATAGTCATGCATTAATTTTGTTATGCTGTGATAATGATGTAGTATGGTCTACTATAATAATTATGAATGATCTTGAATTGGTGTGCCATAAAATATGACTCGTACTGACTGAGTGAATTTTTATATTCAGGGCCGCTTTATTTGTAGCTGTTGGTAGTTCATGGCAGGTCCAAGTTGGTTCTTACTAATTTTTATTAGCAGCCAGAAATTCATTATGATTTTTCCTGTTTCATGAATAATCAAAATTAGTTTTGACTTTTGACAAATAAAGTGGCCAAGTAACCGATGTTTATTTTCAAGTTGATGTTGAAATAGGTATTATTAAAACTATGATACATTTGTACTTTCTTGTTGATCTCAGCCCAAACTGTTGGAGTGAATGTGTTCTATCGTTATACAGGACTTAAGCTCAATATATACCTTGTGATGTATTTTTGTAATATAGAAAGCGTATTATAACTATGTCTTTCATTTTTTATGCACAAAACCCTTTCGTAAAAATTAGTGTTGAACATAACAGTGTTAAATAATTCTTACAAAATGAAGTTAACGCAAAGACCAAAGATATATCTACTGATAAAATAAAAATCATACTGTATCAAGGTTTAGCAAAATGTTTGCCAAAATAATTTTGAGTTTGTTGACCAATTATATGTGGTAGAAGTCTGAACAAAATAAGTGAATTCTTATTATTCTTCTTATTGAGCAATTAATAAAATACAGGAAGTTAATTTAGTATCATTGGTTTATTTATCACCCAGAAAATTTATTAAATTAAATTACTTTGGAATGGCTTACACTATTCCAAATGACATCACACATATCTACAATATTTGTGAGCATTGTTCGGAAGTGACAATCTATACTTAGTGACGAACTAACAAAATTATATTCGCCATTAAAATCAGATACAAAATATAGGTTAGGTTTTTAAAAACAACATTAAATGTTGTAAAGCAATTATTTATATCAATCAAACAACAAGTTTGTTACAAAAATGAATGCTCGAAAGATGCTTATGTACCAAACATGCACTATGTGAAATAGATATTAAAAATATATGTATTAATTATTACACTATCTAGCGTTATTTTTGTGTAACTGGTAAGGACGAAAATTGCAATACGTTTCGTTCAAAGAATAATGTCCATTATGGTGATACTTATGTATTGCAATTTACAAAGCATTTTATTCTATAACACATGTGCACTCATTTCCCCTGATAAGCTTTTTCACAGTCATGTCGTTAGTATAAACAGCGCAACTTAAAATTTTACTAAATTACAACATCAAAAATAAACAGGTGCTGTTTGTAATGACACCTGAAACGCAGAATACCAGGTATATAGTCATTACGTTTTACATAGTACAGTTTAAAAACTATCAATTCCTCTATTATTTATACCCATACTTTTATCCGTGATGCGTTTGTAGATTAATACATATTTTACCAAAAAGAAATAAAACAGTAAAATTTTAATTGTATCGATCTAAATTAAAAACAACTCTAAAATTCAATTACAATTCTGTTACATCAATAACTTTCATAAAGTTAACTATCAAGCAGTTTATCTAATCTTGATACACATGTTAAGGACAACACATTTGATATAAAAGGTGTATTTCTTTCAACTGTGCAACTTGATCTGCGAACAAATGTGCTGTTAAGAAGAAACAAAAACAAAAATAAGATTAAAGAAAGTGAAATTACTTTGGTAAAATACATTCTTTTTAAAGGCCCTGATCGGCGGGCGAGCCATAAGCTTGCAGTTTTCTTCGCGGCTCACTTTACAGCGGCGAGCCTAGCAGTTATTATTTCGAGTTTGTTGAAGCAACGTGCCAAATCATCTCGATGTTTGGCGATCCATAACAGTGCGTTTTACACGAATTTTCTGCAACACACGACCATATTGTGGAATTTACTGTCGCCAGCGGTTTTTCCGGATCGAATGATTAAGGGACCTTCAAGATAAGAGGCGACGGTAAACACTTACCACCAAGTGTGCAGTATGCTCGTTTGCTACTCTTCCATAAAAAAAAAACATACAACTCTGGCGACTTGCGAGCCAGGCTCATCGGATATAACTGCGGTTTTGCGATGATCCACCAACGAACTTTACCGGTGAACCACTAAGAGGGCTGTAAAGTTCGCCTATCGATCAGAGCCTTAAATTATAATCTAAAAGTTATACAAACAAATCAACAAAGTTATATAAACAAATTCTACAAAAAAACCTTATATACAGTGAAATTTTAATTCCGAGGTATTTTATTTAATCAAAGAGAGTAAAATATTTTGAATATGGAAAAATTTATAAAACATCATTCAGGGTACCCTATACTGCAAATATTCAAAAGATTAACCCGGAACCACATGATCAGGTCGCATTTACGAACACTAAACGAACTAGCCAAATTATTGAGAACTTATCATCCCATTTCGTCCCACGGGTGTCGTAAGATAGTAAGTATATAGTAGTCATAATCGCATGATATGAAATATGCCAAAAAGGTTGCGAAAAATACCAGTATAACAATCAGACGAGCAACAATGTCTAAGGTACGAAACGTCTAGTTACTACTAGACGTTTCGTACCTTAATGAAATTACTTTATGAATATTAATATTACTTAATGAATTTCGTACCTTAATGAATGAATGATCGCATTACTATGCGATCATTTATTCATCCACAAAGCGTGACGGAGAGATCCATGAACATCAGTTGTCGGGACGGTCTTGTGAAGAAGCCCTTCTTCCTATTATATAAGGATTAACTTCAAAT